TCTTTATTTGACGACGTGGAGCGCTTATGCAGGCCCCTCGGCCGCACCATCGCCCTGTCGTCTTTATTTGACGACGTGGAGCTCTTATGCAGGCCCCTCGGCCGCACCATCACCCCGTCGTCTTTATTTGACGACGTGGAGCTCTTATGCAAGCCCCTCGGCCGCACCATCGCCCCGTCGTCTTTATTTGATGACGTGGAGCTCTTATGCAGGCCCCTCGGCCGCACCATCGCCCCGTCGTCTTTATTTGACGACGTGGAGCTCTTATGCAGGCCCCTCGGCCGCACACATCGCCCAATCGTCTTTATTTGACGACGTGGAGCTCTATGCAGGTCCCTCGGCCATACATCGCATCGTCGTCCTTATTCGACAACGTGGAGCTCTCGTACAGGCCTCTCGGCCCATCGGCCTTACGTTCTGGTCATCTTTATTTGATGAACCAGACATCATATTGTGGACGGTCGCTCGACCCATCCCTTAGTCATCTTTATTTGATGACTAGGACTACTGATCATGATGAGCTACCCACATCTAGAGATCGGCCTCGACCATCGCCCCAGCAGACGGGCACCGTTGCAGCTCCATCTCCGGGCCGAAGGGTTCGCACCTTTTGTTTCATTTTGGGGCCATCCGGTGTATTCTTTTTCCCTCATTAGGATTTTTTCCCACAGGGTTTTTCCTAATGAGGTTTTTAACGAGGCATCTCCCCATCGTGGATCAAAAGGTGTCAACCCTCGGCCCCCTGTTGAAGACATCATCCGACACGCATTACTCTACTCCTCTTCACCTCATTACACTCGCCTCAAGGAGTGGGGGACTGAAAGAGCGGGGGACTTAGCGCCTCCGTTAACCAAAGAAGCAGAAATTCAAATTTTTGTTCATGAAGTTTACTCACCAGACGGCGACAGATCAGCACACAGTTCTACTCTCTTTCGCCTCGAATACTCTCGACTCAGAGAGTGGGGGACTCCTGATAGAGTATATAGACTCGGACCCCCGAGTCTCATGACTATTGGGCCCGGACAGCGGCCCACACACATCTTACGGATATCATTTGTATTATTGTACTGCTCATATGTCATTTCTATGTAACTATGTACTAGATTAGTCTTTTATGTAGTTGGGCTACCGGGCCCATATTAGCGGCCCGGCCCATTATTTCCCTATTTTTACTCCTCTTGGAGCCATTTGTAACCCTAGAACATAATTTCACAATTCACTATTCATTCATCTTCTTCCTCACATTAGCTCAAATCTCTCCATTTTAATATACTTTGGATACCCTATAATCCATCAATGAGTGTTAAGGACTTTAAGTCCTAGGGTCCTCCACCAAAATATGAGTGTTAAGGACTTTTAAGTCCTAGGGTCCTCCACCAAAATATGAGTTTAAGGACTTTAAGTCCTAGGTTCCTCCACCAAAATATGAGTGTGAAGGACTTTAAGTCCTAGGGTCCTCCACCAAAATATGAGTGTTAAGGACTTTAACCCCTAGGGTCCTCCACCAATTTATAATCCTATGATCAACCTTCTATCAACCTAGATAAAGTCTATATCACATTTATTCATTCATAGCTAAATCAATACATAAAGCTTATGTATCACAATCCATGCAAAACTATGCGTTTATATAAATTCATAACTAACTAATACCATCCGGTATCAACTAATCCATTAACCATCGGTCGACGTTTTCGTTGACCGCTACTTCAAACCTTATACGTATCAACTTAATCATCATATAATTAAGTTAATAATGTTCATTTGTGCTCCTCTTACACTTCAAGCAAATATGCATTTTATATAATTCCTCATAACATATTTCATGCATAAACAATTAATTCCTTTCATACAAACTTAACAATGTTGGCTAATCACATGTTTAAATACCTTTTAAACATAATTATGAACACATATAACATTTATTTAGGTAATCTCATAATTAACCCAAAAGTTATAAGATATTAAGCCGTCCACTCACCTTAAATGAGCTATAGCGTGTTCTACGTTCCTCAGTTGAACTCCGGCGAAATTCCGGCGAAACTCCGGCGAACTCCGGCGAACTCTAGAAACACCTTAGTTAAGCTCCTAACATGGTTTTATCATCACAAAACTCATATCAATACAAATAACCTCTAAAAAGTTATTTTCCGGCGAACCAGTCGTTTTGGCTTCTAAGTTCGTTCTTGGACTAGAACTACCTTCCAACCCCTCATTCTACACTTCTAAAAATGTAGAACAATCCTAGGGTCTCTTCATATGATGTATTTGTCATATGATAATAAAAAATGTGGAAGAAAATTACTCAAACATCTTCTCACCTCTATTACCAAGGATTTTCTCTACTTTTGCGATTTCTTCTCTTTCCTTGAGCTTCTTGCTTGCTTGAGCTCTCCTCTACAATGGAGAATGATGGTTGGAGAAGTTTTTGCTCTTAATTGGGGCGGGCTGGCCGAAATGATGAAAGGAGAGAGAGGGGGGTTGCATTTTGTCTCAATAGTAAGGAAGGTGTGGGAGGAGGCCCACCCCCTTTTTGTTTGATACCTTTTATTTCATTTCACACACACCTCCCCATGTTCACACACTACACCAACCGGCCAACTCCCTGATTTGTGTGATCAAATTTATGGGATGGCCCCCACATATGTGGGAGGTCATCCCTTTAAACCCCGAACTGAATATTCGGCTCTGAAAGTTGTATTTCTCGGACTGTTTTAATTATATTTTATTTTATCGGGTCAAATAAAATATAACACATGTTCCTACCCATTGTAGGCGTTTAGAATGGATGTACAATCCCCAACTTTAATTTAGAAGTCCCTGAAATCCCATTCGGGCTCTTATCCGATAAATTACCAATACCGGTAATTGGGCCTCGTTCGACCGACGGGTCAACCCTCTACCCTTTCTATGACCCAACTAAAATATCCACCACCATATAAATATTATCTAGACTAAGATGAATATAATATGTGGTCCCGGGATTATCGGGTGGTCCCCGCTCCCGATGCGAGCCCCGCTTGCAATTCATTATTCACGCAAAAGTAGTAACAAAAATTTTACAACCTCGTAATTTCATAAATCATTATTCAAGGTTCATTACATGGTTTACTAAAAGTAAATATACTTGGGGACGGTGTTACAATCTAGCTAAAAATTAGTCTGATACACGAGTTAACAAACTTTAAGTTCCAAAATTAGGCTCGGGCCCGGTTCGGGCCTTGAACCGGCCGGGCCTCGGTTCACCGATGGGAGGCCCGGAACCGGCCCGGATAACCGTGGGTCCGGTTCGGTTCGGTTCGGGTCACCCGCCCGGTTCACGGGCCGAGCCGCCCGCCGGGCCGGGCCCTTTAATTTTTTTATTATATATTATATTATTAGAATAATTCTTATTACAATTACAATATATTATATTCTAATTCAAGTATATTTATTTCAAATAAGAAGTACAATTGAGAATTAGGATGAATTTAAAAAATGTAATACATTTGGTAATAAAAAATCATCTGGAATCTCCGCCTTCGGTTGTTTCCTCCATAAAGTGGCGGGTGGGAGCGATGGTAATTTCTTGAGTTCTTCGTTGGGCCTTCAACCAATCGTGAAAGCAAACTAGTGTCTCAAGAGAGCTCGGGCTCAACCTCGTTCTATAATCGGTTAGGACGTTGCCGGCCGCACTAAATTCTTGTTCCACGGCAACGGTTGATATCGGCATTGCTAACACTTGCTTAGCCATCTTTGATAAAATCGGGAACGTTCTTTCATTTTCCTTCCACCACTTAAGAATGTCAAAGTCATCACCAACTTCATAAGTATATATTTATAAGTAGATAATTAATATATAAGTAGATATAATAATTATATAAATTATATATATGTAGAAAGAATTTGGAGAAGATGAAGAATGAAGATGATTGAATATGAGAGATTGAGAGAATAGAGAATTTAGAGAGTAGGAAGAGTTGTAGAAGAAGAGGTGTAAAAAATGTATAAAAAATAGTAGTATAAATAGGTTTTTTTTGTATACCCCACCCCCTAACCCCCAGACCCCCCTCCTAAGCTCCCAACGGCTATAGAGCCGTTTGGGAGCTCTCCCAATGGCTATGGAGCCTTTAACTATTTAATTTTTTTAAAAAAAAATATGACCTTTGCGGCCCGGACAGGACCGGGCCCGGACCGGCCGGGCCGGTTCACTAAAATGCAGGCCCGGGACCGAACCGCTAGAACAACGGGCTGGGTGGCCCGAACCGGGCACCAACCGGTTCACCGGGCCGGTCCGGGCCCGCACAGTAGCGGGCCGGTCCGGTTCCGGGCCGGTTGGCCCGGCCCGAGTCCATCCCTAGCTCCACCCAGGTTGGGCTTGATGTTTAGGAGGGGTTTGGGGGGTTTGGGGGGTTTGGGGTGGGGGTGAGGGGGGCCCAGGGATAGGTAGGGGAAAAAAAATTACCAAGCCCGAGGCCCGGCCCGGCCCGGACCCGGTGGCTACCCGGGCCGGTCCCGGGTCCACCTATTCAGAACCGCCGGCCCGCCTGGGCCTAGGCCCGACCCGGCCCCGACACGGCCCGAATCCACCCATACCTTAAATTCTATGAACACTCGATTGAACTTATATAATCTGAAAAATGTTAATGTCTTTTTATCTGAAAGCAAATACAAAAACAATTGAACTCATATAATCTGAAAAATGTTCATCTGTCTAATTAACAAGTTTTAATCGTTTCATACGTGTCTTTGCAGTATAACAATTAACCAGTGTTACTGTTAACAAAGAAATTGAAGGCTGTATTTATACACAGTTTACACACAGCGTTTGGCGATTGTTGTACACAAAAACAATTGTATTAAATGTTTTCATTTAACAATCTAACGAACACAAAAATATTAAATTAATCATAGAGTTCAGCAGATGATAGAGTTACGGGCTAACAAAGTTAGACCAGTCTGTAGACTAAAATTAGACCAGTTTATATTTTAGTAAAACTTTACTAAATTAGACTAAAAAATCAGTTTAAGATATGTTCTGTTAAAAATCATCTCATAAGGACGCCACCAGTTTAATTAACAAAGAATCCATCCTTCATAAGAGGGGAAGAACACCATACACTAATACAGTTAGGAAGTGCCAAGGCTGCCTACATCATTCAGTGGCATATCTAGATATCCTACCTTATCCACAAATACATTAATAGCTTTTTTACTTATTGAGTTTTCCTTTAAAAACACACACACAAAGATGGAGGGCGATGAGAAAACCCGCAATGGACTCGGAAATTGTAGCCACTCTTTCTGCTGCACTTTGGATAGCGAAATCCATCCTTAGAACCAGCCAGAGCTTCAATCAATATGACATGAATTAATTTTGCTGGGATAGCCAAGAAACCAATAGTGTATCAAATGTGACAACAGAAAACATCAACCCACCCCATGTAGTAAATTAAAATTAACCATAAATCACGTAGATTAAAGTACCTGAAAATTTGCAAAAAAATGATTAAAGAATAAGGATTAGCATGAGTTGATAGCATTGCAATGCCTCAATTCTATTGGTACTTAATAATCAGTTAATCACACTACTGAAGGCCTGAAGCAAGGTTCTTGGTTTCAAATAACAACTGCTTCAAATACATATATTCTATAACACTATTTGGGGAAAGTAATGACAAATCATTTCATTTTCATTGACCCCCGTGCCGCAAAGGCTCCCACCTACAGTGGGGTAAGGGGGGTCGGATGTACGCAGTCTTACCCCTGTACTAAAGCATACATATATTCTATAAAGCACAGAGAGACTGTTTCCGGATGACCCATAGTGAAAATCCCGTCCAAAATTGCATCCTTAGGGGAAAGTAATGACAAATATATTACCAAAATAAAAGTTGTGGAAAAATGTGACATCCTTAATGCATTGTGACCATCTTTGGCTGTGGTAGTGCTAAAAGTGACCGTTTAATTAGACTCGAGGTTGAGTATCATTTTCATAATAATTTGGGAAAAACCCTAAAAACTATTTCTGATATCATATAGGAGTAAGAAATATTAGTGGCACTTCCATCTTTCCATCAAACATACAAAGCATGTAGAAATAGAGAGTAACCTCTAGGCTGCATAAAGTACGAGCGACTAAGTTTAGAGTGTAATCATCAAGTGTTTTACTCAATTCATCATCTGCAAGTTATACATATCACTAGCCACACATAAAAATGTGCTGACCAAACAAAGACTTTAAAGCAAAAAAATGAAAAACATAACTAAAAATTCTAATAAGCAATACAAAACTACATCATATCCCATTAGGTGGGGTCGTCTATACAAACTAATAAACCATACATAAGGCATCAAGATATTGGAAGTAATTAGGAACAGATCAAGTGGACTTACCTCAGTCTTGGGCCGCACCATATCAAACCAGACAAACAAAACAGACCAGACCACAGTCACCACAACAAACTAGATCAACACATATTCAGACTAGGCTATACTTAGATAGTAAACTGAAGTAAGTGAATGGAAAAAACACAAATTATATATCGTCACCTTTGGTTAGACCATTGCTCTCTTTATTGTTGGGTTTCCCTATCAGAAACCGGAGAAACCAAGCTCTCTACATAGGTTTCTGCTTCAAGAATATCACCAAAGTTGGCAATCTCAGGATAGCGAAGTGCTTTAGTTTTTGGATCATAAACAACAATGGTAGATCCACACAATAGTACAACATCACCAGTGTCAGCTATGCACAATGAAGAACAAAAAGATTTATCCTTTGGTTCATCCAAACGTGGAATAGTGACCATCTTAGTCCAAGACTCAGCCACTCCATATTCCTTCATCACCCACAAATCCATGTGAGCATTCTCATACTGACAAAGCACACAGAGATCGCCACAAACAACTCCCAAAGTCAAATCATATGAACCTTCCCCATAATCTGGATGACTCACTTTTCCATAGACTTCCTTGGATAAGTCCAGATAAACAATTTCCCAGCTACTAGTAAGACTAGAAGAAGAACGGGCGGCCCAATGGATCTTCCCCTTTACATACTTGCCAGCATCGTTCAATAAAACCCCGCCCTTGAAATCCCCAATTCTCCTCCAAGAATCACTGCTCAAACTATACAACATCACCTCAGTCTCACATGAATTAGTTCCATGAAAGATACAGAAAATCCCAACCACCTTGTAATCATCACTCGACTCGTCGTACCCGAACCCGTATAAGAAATAGAACCCGGGTTTCAACTCAAACCCTGAATCTGGCAATTTCTTGAATTTCCCAGTAGTCGGGTTCCAAATAATCAAATCTTTCTCTTCAATGGCAATGCACACCAGTCCGTTGAAAGAACCAATTATCCAAACCGAGCTATGCGGGAACTTCATAGGATAATCGACTTCGAATGCCTCTGTCACCGGATCTGAGATTACAGATCGAAGGGAGCATTGCTTCAGAGAAAATTGAGTTCCAGCGAAGCTGCTCAGAATTTTGTGGTTAGCATAATCCTTTCTTGAAGTCGAGAGCTTGAGATGAACTTTTACAAACTCGGAGCTGGAAATTATATCGCGCCATGCTTTCGATACGCATCTGAGTTTGAAGAGGGGCTTTACAGGCAGTCTTGAGAAGATTTCTGAAAGAATCTCTGGGGGAAGTGGAGGGAAAGCAAAGGTTGATTTTGGGTTGGATGATGATTGAGCTGAAGCGTTTGGGATTTGGGCTTGGAGATGGATCCTTTTGCCTTTCTTTGGGTGCTGTTGCGACTGGCCGTGACACTTTGGTTCCATTAGAGCACAGCTGTTCGATGGTTTAGGTTTGGTCCGACAAGATCATACCTGAGTTCTGTGGGAAGTAACCAAACCGACTAATTTGTTCTTTACGTGTGTACGGAAATAGTTTGGCATAGAATTCTTCCCCCGTTTTTTTAATGAAGGAAATCAACTTAATTGGCATTAATCAAATCAAAGGTCAAAACCTCAACAATACAAGGATGAAGAATACCCAACCAAAACTGATAATTAGACATAGAATTAGCTCATCTAGCCAACTCATGAGTCACTATGTTCACTAATCGTTTAACAAAACAGAAACAAATATTAGCAAAATCTCTACTAATAAGTCTAATATCCGCAGCTATAATATCAATCGCAGAGAGACTAGATGTTGAAGATGGAGCCTTGTTTGTGCAGAAGCAGAAGATACCCGACCGGGTGAGGTCAGTCACCCGACCGGGTATGATGTGAATTTGGCCGGGCAACTCTCTGGATTGGGAAACCTGATCGGGTAAGGAGGTTTACCCGACCGGGTCCGTGGATGTTTTGGCTTCTGTTTAGCATACCCGACCTGGTGTCTACCCGGGTATGCCTTTTGAGGCGACACCCGACCGGGTCAAGAAGGGGACCCGACCGGGCCAGTGGAGTTTCTACCTTTCTGCTTTGGTTACCCGCCCTGGTCTCAACCCGGGCATGCTTGCTGAGGAGTTACCCGACCGGGTCAAATAGGAGACCCGACCGGGTCTAAGGGTTAATTTTAATTACGGGCCTAATTTTTTGGGCCTGCGGCTCTAATCTTTGTTTAGGTTTTCTTAAACCTATTTAAGCATATCTTGTACGTTGTAATACCTCTTGACGCAGACCTAATAATAAAACATCTCTCTCTCTCGTTCGCCGTGGACTAGCACAATCACCCCGATTGTGTGAACCACGTAAAAACTCTTGTGTTCTTGCTCTTTAATTTATCGTTTTATTAACCTAAATCGTAACAAGTGGTATCAGAGCTATGGCTGACAAAGGGAAGGTTAAGATCGATAAATTTGATGGTCAAGATTTTGCTTTCTGGAAGATGCAAATCGAGGATTATCTCTACCAGAAGAAGCTTCATCTACCCTTGTCTGAGAACAAACCAGAATCAATGGCGGAGGCGGAGTGGAACTTGCTGGATCGACATGCCCTTGGTGTGGTGAGGTTGTCGTTGGCGAAAAACGTTGCTTACAACATCGTCAACGAGAAAACAACGTTTGGACTACTCAAGGCGTTATCCAACATGTACGAGAAACCCTCAGCGGCCAACAAGGTTTTCTTAATCAGACAGTTGGTGAACACGAGAATGAAGGAAGGTGCAGCCGTAACAGATCACGTCAACGAGTTTAACTCAATCATATCCAGGTTAGGTTCGATTGAGATTAAATTTGATGATGAAGTTCAAGCATTACTTTTGTTATCATCTTTGCCCGATAGTTGGTCCGGTACAGTCACAGCAGTTAGGAACCACTAAACTTACCTTTGAGGGTATTCGTGACTTGATCCTTGGTGAAGATATCCGGAGGAGGAGTTCGGGGGATAGCTCCAACAGTTTGTTGAGTACTGAAGATAGGGGCAGAAAATCCACTAAAGGAGGTAACAAAAAAGGAAGATCAAAGTCGAGGAAGAGAGGTCAATCCAAGAACAGGAAGGACATCAATTGTTGGAATTGCAAGGAGAATGGACACTTCAGAAATCAGTACCCCAAAGCCTCTGCATACAAAGGCAAGAAGGAGGTGAACGTGGCAGAGGATTATGAAGATGTCCTAATTTGCAGCATTGAGAATTCAATTGAGTCCTGGATCATGGATTCAGGTGCGTCGTTTCATGCTTGTCATTGCAGGGATTTGATGAAACATTTCAGGCCCTACAGCGGAAGAGTTCGTTTGGCGGATGACAAATCCCTGGAGATCACGGGTATTGGAGATGTTAATCTCAATACCACTTTGGGTACAACCTGGAGGCTGAAAAATGTCAGGTATATTCCAGATCTGAAGAAGATGTTGATCTCAGTGGGACAGCTTGATGAGGAAGGCCATAACGTTAGTTTTGGCAACAAGCAATGGAAGGTGACAAAGGGAAAACTGGTCATTGCTCGTGGACAGAAGCATGGTACATTGTACATGGTAGAAGTGTCTACAGATGGAGCAAACGCAGCAGTTGAAGATGCAGGGGTCTCTACTTTGTGGCACCAAAGACTTGGGCACATAAGTGAGAATGGAATGAAGATGCTGTCTTCAAAGGGTAAAATCCTAGATTTGAAGAATTCAAAGTTGAGCTTTTGTGAGTCATGTGTCCTTGGTAAACAAAAGAGGGTAACCTTTGTGAAGACAGGGCAACAACCCAAGACTGAGCGGCTGGAGTTGATTCATTCAGATGTCTACGGACCTACAAAGGTCTCTTCAATTGGAGGTTCCCGCTACTATGTTACATTCATTGATGACTCTACACGGAAGGGGATAAGAATGCTGAAGACGGTTCCAGAAACACCACAGTAAAATGGTGTTGCAGAATGGATGAACAGAACACTGAATGAGAGGGCTATGAGCATGAGATTACATGTAGGACTTCCAAAGATGTTCTGGGACGATGCGGTGAACACAGCAGCATACTTGATCAACAGAGGACCCTCATCTCCCATAGGGTTCAAAGTTCCAGAGGAGGAATGGAAAGGTCATGAGGTATCTCTTAATCACTTGAAAGTTTTTGGTTGTATTTCTTATGTCAAAGTTAGAGATGCAGATAGTGACAAGCTCGAGGCAAAGGCAAAGAAATGTATATTTATTGGGTACGGGCTGGATGACATGGGCTACAGGTTCTGAGACAACCACAACAAGAAGGTTATCAGAAGTAGAGATGTCACCTTCAACGAGAATGCCCTGTATAAAGATGATCTTGTAGCAGACACTAGCAAAGGCAAGCAACCAGAAAACAAACAGCAAGTGGTGTTTGAAGGGATGACTGAAGATGACATAGCACAACCTATTGGTTTTGATGGCATGGCTGGAGGCTCAGGGAGCAGTGGGAGTTCAGGAGATACAGGAATTTCTGAGGATAGTGGGAGTGATGAAGATAGTGGGAGCTCGGAGGAAGCTACTCCACAAATCAGACAGTCCACTAGAAACAGAAGACCTCCTAACAGATATTCTCCTTCAGCAAATTATTTGTTGCTGACCGAGAATGGAGAGCCAGAATCTTACACAGAGGCGCTGATTGTGAAGGATTCCATACAGTGGAAGAAGGCCATGGAGGATGAGTTAGACTCACTTGATAAGAACCAAACTTGGTCCTTAGTCAAGTTACCACCGGGAAAGAAAGCTTTGGAGAACAAGTGGGTGTTCAGAATCAAAGATGAAGCAGATGGGAGCAAAAGATACAAAGCGAGGTTAGTTGTCAAGGGGTTCCAACAGAAGAAGGGGGTTGATTACAATGAAATCTTCTCTCCGGTTGTGAAGATGACTACTATCAGGTTGATCCTTGGTATTGTTGCTGCTGAAAATTTGCAATTGGAGCAGCTGGATGTAAAGACTGCCTTTCTTCATGGCGACCTTGAAGAAGACATTTACATGGCTCAACCAGTAGGGTTCTCAGTGAGTGGTAAGGAGAAGTTGGTGTGCAAACTCAAGAAGAGTCTATACGGGCTAAAGCAAGCTCCTAGACAGTGGTACTTGAAGTTTGACAGTTTTATGCAGTGGAATGGATACACTAGATGCAAGATGGACCATTGCTGCTACTTGAAGAAGTTCAAGTCATCATACATCATTCTTCTTTTGTATGTTGATGACATGTTGGTGGCTGAAGCAAATATGCAGGAGATCAACAAACTTAAGAAGAAGTTGTCAGAAGATTTCGAGATGAAGGATTTGGGGGAAGCAAGACAGATTCTTGGGATGAGCATAGTCAGGAACAGGATAGAAGGTACTTTAAAGCTTTCACAGCAAAAGTACATTCAGAAGGTCCTTGAGAAGTTCAGAATGACGGATGCCAAACCAAGGAGTACACCGTTAGGGAGTCAACTGAAACTCTCCAAGCAGCAGTCTCCAAAGACCAATGAAGACAAAGAAGAAATGGCTAAAGTTCCTTATGCATCAGCCGTTGGCAGTTTGATGTACGTGATGGTGTCAACAAGGCCAGACATTGCTCATGCAGTGGGAGTTGTTAGTAGGTTCATGTCAGATCCAGGAAAAGAGCATTGGGAAGGAGTTAAGTGGCTGTTGCGCTACTTGAAAAGCTCTTCTGAAACTGCCCTATGTTTCAGAAGGAATGGTGTGATCCTTGAAGGATTTGCCGATGCTGATTTGGGGGGTTGTTATGATTCCGGGAAGAGCACAACGGAGTATGTATTCACTATTGGAGGTACGGCAATCAGTTGGATGTCCAGACTACAGAAGAGTGTGGCTCTTTCAACCACAGAAGCAGAGTATATGGCCATTGCTGAAGCGGCCAAGGAGTTGATCTGGTTGAAGAACTTTCTTTCTGAGTTGGGCATGAAACAGGGAGATTGCGCTCTATATTGTGACAACCAGGGTATGCCTTTTGAGGCGACACCCGACCGGGTCAAGAAGGGGACCTGACCGGGCCAGTGGAGTTTCTACCTTTCTGCTTTGGTTACCCGCCCTGGTCTCAACCCGGGCATGCTTGCTGAGGAGTTACCCAACCGGGTCAAATAGGAGACCCGACCGGGTCTAAGGGTTAATTTTAATTACAGGCCTAATTTTTTGGGCCTGCGGCTCTAATCTTTGTTTAGGTTTTCTTAAACCTATTTAAGCATATCTTGTACGTTGTAATACCTCTTGACGCAGACCTAATAATAAAACATCTCTCTCGTTCGCCGTGGACTAGCACAATCACCCCGATTGTGTGAACCACGTAAAAACTCTTGTGTTCTTGCTCTTTAATTTATCGTTTTATTAACCTAAATCGTAACACTAGAACCGTTTTGAATTTCAGAAATAGAAAGCAAAGATCCAGATTCCACGACCACAAAGTTTCATCCCCCTTCTTTAATCCAACTCAAGGACTCCCCCAATGAACAACTGTTGCGAACTTGGCTTCAAGATGAGAACAACTGCCCCACCCACTTTTTATTCCTCCCCCAATGAAATCTCTG